GCTATAGAGTAATGATTAAAAGTTACAGAGAAATTAATATAACATTATTAGACAATAATTATAACTTAACTAAGAAGGTTAAGACACGCATAAGGCGTAACATAGATCGTGATCTGAAGTTGATCATACTAACATTAATGTGCAAGCGATAAATTTTTTCTTTCAGATTTTTATTTGTTACATGGTTTATTTTTATTTTATTTTAAATTGAGATCTTCCAAAATATTTTGAAACAAATCGAAAGGTATAAATTTTTTTATAAATTTATACCGTACCAAATTTCCATAGTTATGATTCTTTCATATTAGTTACGTGACAGGACATTGACATATCACAAAGCAAATTATGTTTGTAATGTTTTAAAAATTAAAGTTTAAAAAGATGAAATCAACATATTGGATTTATTTTTATTTTTTAAAAATAAATCATTTTTATTATTTTCATTGAAAGTATAAATACAATATATTCTTTATATTCAATGATCAAATCAATTGATCTCTCACCTCTCTCACCTATATCTAATAAATGAGGCCTAAATAGGCAGAAAAATATGCACTTCTGATAGCAGCTACTTCTACAAGGTTGAAAATAAAAAAGTAAAATTTCGTTTCAATAATACCATTGCAAGCAAACGGAACGGAATATATACAAGATATTTTGAAGATGTTGTTGTATCCATAACAGAAGGTAAGATGAGGTGAAGATTTTATCAGCCTCAGTTATATATCAGAATAGCAATGTTAGAGACGTGGTCAGTCAACAGTCAGTCAAATGGTCGGTCAAAGACTGATCATTTTTTGGAAGTTGTAATATCGCTTGATGGATGATTATAGCACGTCACTTTCTATACTTGTATATAAAATAATATTTATTATGTTTTGATTTACTTCATTAAGTATGTTATGTTTATTAGTTTATTAATTAAATTTTAGTAGCATAGCATTATTTTGGATTTTTTCAAATTTTCAATATTTTAATTTATATATATAATTAAAAGAAAATATTATTCAAATATTTAGTTATGTTGTTAATTTTAATACAAAGATTTCTTTACTAATTAAATAGGGGTTTTCAACCAGTCAAAATCTTACATCATTCGGTCAAAAATAGGCTTGAATGAACCTAAATAAATTAAATCCGAAAATAATTAAATTAAAAAAAATAGGGTATGCAAATTAAAAATAATTAAATATATAATTAAATATTAGAACCCGCGATTATTAAAAAAAAACTTTTAAAAAATTATAGCATGTATTAAAATCTTGGTGTAAATTTTTTTTTTTTTTTAATTGCGGGTTTTATCTTTTAATTTTTAAAATTAATGTTTTATCTTAAATTTAATTATTATTTTTTAAAAAAAAAAAAAATTCACGAATTTTAAAAATTATTTTAAATTTTTAGAGTCAATGTGTTGATTATTGTAATGTATCAATTGAATCTCATATTAGGTATTATTAGTGTGAACCTGATTCTGGGCCTTTGAGCGACAAATAAATTTCCTTTTTCTCAAAAAAATCTCCTTTTTAAGCAATTCGTGTAACGACAACGACCAGCCATTATTATATACCTTATTACCTAATAAATACTAAAACTAACACTAACACTAACATTAAAAGGTAGAGGATAAGGTATCTACCTCAAGGAATAAAGGTTGTTTATTATTTTTTTTAAAAAAAAAAGATGTGGATCTTGTCATGGCGGCACAGTCAGGTGCGTGATGAAATTTTCTTTTTATTGTTTCTATTGTTTATTACTAAAAATTCTACCCGACAATGCCCTGTGTTTCAGGACAATGTCTTCGGTATATTAAAAATCGCGATTATTATTATTAATAATCAATTAAAAATTTAAAAATAAATAAATAAAATAAAGAATTGGGGAAGGGTGACGAATAATAAAAATATAATAAAATAAAAAATTATAAATTAAAAGAGGAATAAATAGAGGAAAAATAAAAAATAAAAAACATGAAATAATTTAAAAAAAAAAAAGGAATGGGGAAAACAAATAAAAAAAAATTAAAAAAAAAATAAAACGATCGGGGATAAAATAAAAAAATAATAAATAAAAGAGGAATAAAAAAAAAAAAGAAAAAAAAAAGAAATCAAAATTAATAAAAAAAAAAAAAGAACGAGGGAGGGGGAGGGGAGACGAATAAAGAAAAAATATTAAAAAAAAATAAAAAAATAAAATAAAATTAAAGATCTGGGTGGGGGAAAAAATATAATAAAATAAAAAAATAAAAAACAATGACAAACTATTCAAATGAAAGAATATTTATACATTATAATAGAACCAATTTCAAATGTTCCTTTCCTACATTAAAAGAATTATATAGTAATAATTCCAAATATAAAAATCAAATTTTGTACAATAGATAATACCTAGAAAAAGATCATTTAGTGGCGACAGAGTCGCCGCACCTCAACCTGATCTAGTTCTAATTAAAATTTTAATATATTTTCCTTACAATATAACTTCGTTAATTTCGTTGTTTTAATTATTTTTTTTTTTATTTTTAATTTTCCAATCCGATTATTATTTTGCGTAATTTTTAATTAATTAGCGTTTAGTGATTAGCTTTAGTTTGCAACACTGATTAATTAATTACTTTTATATCATAATTATTCAATTGCTTATTAATAAAAACCCTTCTGCTTACATTTTAAATATATACAATGGAATTGAATACAACAGCATTATATTTCAAAGTCACAGAATAAAATTTTTAATATAAACCTTTTTTTAGTATAGGTTAAATTATTTGTAATAAATTGTATTAATTTTTTTTGTTATAGATATGCTAAAACTTTAAAAATTAAGTTTTCAACATCTATTTCACGTGTTAACGAACCCCAAGTGATCGCCCCGGGTAAAATTTATTTAGGACATTGAATATTTGTCAAAAAATTTTAAAAATAGATGCGATTTTTATACGATTATTAGAATCGATTCCAATCCTCAATGATCTGTGATAACTTTGACTATTAAAATCCCTACATTGTATGCATTTGGTCGCTCTGAGTCATCAATTATAAGCAAAGAGACTAGTGAAATAGGGAGAATGCGTCATTGTCCGAGATGATCAAAATAGGAATGCGCAATAGGATATCCCAAAAGCGATTGCCCCTGTGAAATTGTTCCATCAATTCTGTAACTAGTTGATTATGAAAATGAGATCCTCTATCTGATAAGATCTTAGTTAGACATCCATGTCGGCAAATAATATCTTCGTATAAGAACTTAACAACATTTTTAGCAGAGGCATCCTTAACTGCTTTAGCTTCTGGCCATTTTGTTAAATAATCCATGGCAACAATAATGTATTTATTTCCTCTACTAGTTCTTGGTAAAGGTTCAACGAAGTCTATTCCAATTCTATAAGATGTAATTCATTCTTTGTTTTAGGTCTTCCTCTCCGTTGGCAAGCATCAAATGTTTGAACACCCAAAACCGAAATATAAAAATTGTCGGTCATTTTGCAAATCGAAACACCAATAAAAATTTTTAATAAAGTTTTGCTTAGTAAATTTAATCGCCTATGTAAAAAAAAGATTGAACACAAAATCGTACGAAATTGAAGATTTTAATTGTTTAAAAGAATAGTTTGTATCTGTAGTTTCAGTTGCCTCTTGAATATTATTTTTTCTTTTTACACGCTAATTTACTAAACAAATTCATATTAGATAATGCATGTACTGTAAGCTTCTATATAATCAAACAAATTTTTGTCATCTGTGTTTTTACATACTAATACAAAACTGTGTTCGATCTGTTCGACCTTAAAATTGGCAATAAATGAAGATCGCAAGCGCCATAATGTAATCATTTGTGTAATGAAATTTCTAAATAAAAGGCCGATATAATAAAATATCATAATAAATATTTTGTAAAAAAAAAATTATGAATATGCTGACTTCGACAATAAACAACCAATAGGAAGCGGTAATTTTGGAAAAGTTTCTCGTGCTAAATGGAAAGATAGTGATGCCATTTTTGCTTTGAAGTCGTATGACAACTATAAGATAACCCTTAAAGAAATTGTCAATGAGGTAATTAAACATCTAATGTTTTAAAATATCAGATTAAATGACCTGAAAATTAATCATAAATTTATGTATACATTGCAGAATAAATTACAAAAAAAAGTTGATTTTCATTCAAATATTTTACGATTTTTTGGAATTACAAAGATAGAATTCGGTAAGCGATAAAATAGGACTACATAGTAAAATTTAGCACGAATATATATTTTATACAATTTTTTTTAGATGTAATTCATCAAACGAACCAATACTTACTAGTTTTAGAATATGCTGATGGTGATACATTAAATAATTATTTAAATCAGAATTTTGAGAAACTTGATTGGAATGACAAATGTCAGTTAGCATTCCAATTAACAAGTGCTATAGAATGTATGCATAATAATGATACTATACATCGTGATCTGGTAATGTGTGTTTTATTTATTTTGTTATTAATATGTATGTAATGAATGATTTATATTTAATCACGTAGTTGTTTTAAATTTCTTTTAATCACAGCATACAAATAATATACTTATACATCAGAAAAGCATCAGGATAGTAGACTTTGGTTTATTTAGAAAAATTGCTGAAGCTTCAAGCAACGCAAGTAATTTTGGCGTAATACCTTATATGGACCCAAAATGTTAGATAATCAAAAAAAGAGCTATGTAATTAATAAAAAATCCGACATTTATAGTATTGGAGTCTTGATGTGGCAAATTTCAAGTGGACATAACCCATTTAATAATGTAGATTATGATGTAGGTTTATCCTTAAATATCGTAGGTGGAAAAAGAGAGAAAATGATCGAAGTTACTCCTTTTGAATATTATGTCTTATATCAAAGTAAGTGATAGTAGATTTTATTTTTTGTTATTTATTGACTTATTTATTTACATTATAGAGTGTTGGAAATATGAGCGAGAAAAGCGGCCAAATATAAAAGAGGTTGTCTCAATGCTTAAAAAAATGGCTTTTCATAATGTCGATCTTGAGGAAGAAAGCGATCCATTACTAAATAATGATTCCAGCTTTATAACTCTCATATCTGATGTATCAATTGAAATAAAAATAGATTATGATGATTTGATATTGGATGAACCATTCGATCAATATAAAGATATTAATTCTGAAAATAATTCAAGTTTGCTAAAACGAAAATCTATAATTAATTTATCAAATCCGTTTTTTAAAATTGCAAATTCATCAATTAATTAGAATTATTATATACTGTAATAATACAGTTAATAATATTATTGATAAGTTAATCAGTTTTTAATTAAAAAACATAATGTAGGCATATTTTCATTTGATCAAATTGAAAATATTATTAAAAAGCCATTATTGCAATTAAATCAATCCGTAAATAATCTTATAACCTAGCTTATCAATAATCAAAATAAGCTGCAATATATGTGGTTCCTTGGATTTCTTTATTATCATCATATTGATAGATGAAGATAGTAGTAAAGCATTTGCATTATTTTTAAAAGCAGCAAATGATTACTATTCAATCGCGCAGTTTTATCTTGCTAAATGTTATTATGAAGGATATGGAATTGAAAAAAATCTTCAATTAACTTTTGAGTATTATCAAAAATCTGCAGAAAATAGAAGCATTATTGTACAACTCTATCTAGGATATTGTTTTGAATTTGGTATCGGAATACAACCAAATGAAGCAAAATCAATCTTTTGGTATAAAGAAGCAACTAATAATGGGAATATGGTATCAAAACTCTACTTGGCAGATTGCTATAGGTTGGGATATGTAGTTAAAAATGATGAAATTAAAGCTTTTGAATATTATAATATATTAGCAAATAAAGAAATTCTGATGCACAATATCAACTTGGAAATTGTTTTCTTTGCTGAAACCCATTAAAATAAAAAAATATGTTAACAATATTTTTGCAATATAACAAACATATCAATTTTGTATTTATGTAATCTGTGTTGTAACTATATAATCACAATATGTCAAATATATGTCAATTTTATATAGTATACATATGTTAGAAATATGATATAAAAATATAATTATATAAAAACGTTTCCGTTATAGTTTATAAAAAATAAAAAAAAATAATTTTTAAATTTTAATTCACTGAAGATTTTGCTATAAATTTATTAAAATTCGTACTAAATTATTGTATAAAATACCTTATTTATAATTTAAATTTTAAAAATATTTCAATTATAAATTTATAAATGTATAATTTAATAAATATAATATTATTGATTACAAAAGATAATGTTATTTATTCGCTAATAAATTATATTTTCGCTAAATTTCCAAATTAGGTGATAACCGTCTCGTGAAAATACTCGTTTATTACTCGAGTCCAATGAGCAATGTTATATTGACGAAAATAAGTTTTAAAGATTTCTAGGTCTGTATTTATAAGTTTAAATACCGAGTATTTATATTTTCGCAACAAAACAAAAACAATGACTTAAAATTCATTTATAAATTCATTAATTATAAGAGAATAAAATTAAATACATGCATATATATAGTATATTTAATGTTCAACCAAAAATATTTAAAGGATATTTAAAATAATTATTTTACGAAAAGTGTATTCTATACAAAAAATTTATTTTTAAAAAAATTGAATGCCCACATTTCCGTTTAAAGATTAATATTTGAATATCGTTTTACTTATTTGTTTACATATCAGTATTTAATTGTCAAAAAGCTTCTATACTCACTTTCATTTTCTTATGAATTCAAGTCTTTGTGAAAGTTTCGTAAAAAATTTTCGTTTAAAAGTAATGACCGTATCGTAATTGATTTGTAAGATATATTTATTTAAATGTAAATTTCTATACGATCATAAAGACATTATTCCACTTTTTTTTTTTGTAATTGTGCAATACATGTTAAATCGCAAATTCTCAACTTTTGGACTTTTTTTGATTCGCAAAAAAATATTTCGCAAAGTATTGAAATTAGTATTTATCTAAAATTTGATGCTTATTTCTTATTTTATTTTAATGTCTTAAGCATCGGTTATGAGCTAGTCTTTAATTTTGTGTACTTTTTTTTATTATTTACAATTTAATCATTTTTCTTTCAAACAAGTTATTTATGACAAAATTGAATAATTATGCTCATAATGTGACTTGAAACTTCTCTCTCAAATAATCGGGTACACTTTGTGTTAAACAAAGCTAAAAAAGTCAATATCATTTTTTTTTTATCGATCGTTATAGTGTAAGTATAAATTTAAAATTTTAATCGTTTTTATATTTATAATATATTCTAATTACCGACATGAAAGGTATTAGCAATGAGTCAATTACGAAGTGATATGGTAAGTTTCTAAAAAAATCCATGATCTGGGAATTTATTTAAATTTGATTTATATTGCATAGCAATCTTCCCATATATTTTTAAAAAAAAAAACGCGAAAAATAGAAAAATTTGAAAAGCAATATAAACGAATTCATATTGCTACTCCAATAAATCCATTTAATGATAATGAAGAACAAAAATTTCTTTTTAATATAAGTAACAGGGAAGAAGTAGAAATAGATACATCAATATTTGTTGAAGAGAATAATGATATTTATGAAATATTTAATGTAGAACATTGGTTACAAATAATAAAAAATTGGATTAAAAAGAAATCATTTGGATAATTGCGAATTAAATTAGGTGGTCGTGTTGCTTCATCCAGCAGATGATCCATTGGCAATATGTGATTTATTGAATTTATTCAATGATTCATTGAAGCTCCGATTTTTTCTAATTGTAACAAAATGCCTATTATTAAATTAAAAGTCAATTTTGTTATTATAACTAGATTGTTTTAATGATATCATTTTTAGGGAGATGAAAAGTATTTATGGAGATAATGAATAGCTTTCAAGAAAATTTGTTTAAAAGTAAGTAATGTACAAAAGATTTAGCAATTTTAATCTCTCGTTAAAGTAATATTAAAAACTAAATCTTGACTTAAAATTTGTTCAGTGTAATCACGTGTGGTATTTAAAATTGCATTATATATATCAGTATGCTAGACATGACTTTACTATTAGTTTATAATTAATTTAATAAACTCTTGTTTTATTCATCTAATTCAAACCTCAATATTAATTCGCGGTTCCAATAGATCGAAAATCACGTGATTTCACAATAGCATTTTTCTTCTTCTCCAAAGTCTAAAAACTTTATTTTTCTTTTTAGAATGTTTGCTTCATAATCTCTCTCTCTCTCTCTCTCTCTCTCTCTTTTTTTTTTTTTTTTTTTTTTTTTTTTTTTACAGATATATCACTTATACCAATTAGTTTGACGAATTTGATTGGGTCATTAGCCACAATCTGTCTGTTTTTTTTTCTTGTTATAAATATTTCTCAATAGTGCAATAAGCCATAAAAAATAAAAACCTTACCAATTAATATGTAAGTAGTTCCATACCTTGTGAACAAATTTCCATTTTTGCTGTTTAGTATAAAATTTTGGGATGCAGACGAAGATAGCGAATGGGAGAAAGATATGGTAAAATAAATATTTCGGTGTTTGCTATCAGATGAAAGCGATTCAGAAATTTTTTTATTTTTTTTTTTAAAAAAAGACTAATTTTTGTGATCACAAAATTTAAATATTGTCAAAAGAGAAATGGTACTATTTCGTTATTAGCGTTGTATACACTAATACCCAGAGGACGTCAATACCAATCGCAACCCAAAATTAAGATCAATTTCCAGTAATCTCAAACTTTTGCCTCAAAACTGAAGAGATTAAAGATTCAACCAATTGCCTCAAACCGGAAGGGAATCATCTATCTAACGCCTTAAATTGGAATCGATCATTTCGTTTCAAATCGAAAGAATTAATATAATCAGTTAAGGATAATTTTGTTATAATAAAGAATAAATTCTTATTTTATACAAGGAATAAGAACACTTGGCAGGATCGGACTTCAACAAAGGATCAAGACTTATTGACAGGATCGATAACATCAGATAGTCTTCGAGGATCACGAACACTTGACAGGATCGATAAATACCATTTTCTTCAAAGGATCACGACACTTTCAGCGGCATCGAACATCTTTCAAAGATCACGACCTCTTGACAGGATCGACAAAAGCGGATTGTTTTCTAACAAGTATCAATATCTCTTGCAATGGGATCGAATTTCAGTTGTATATCTTCGTATATTTCTTCCAAGGTATGAGAAAATCTTTTCAAGTCCTAACACCACACCATAAGTGCAAGGTTACAACAATAGTTTGAGTAAATATCTAAGAATAAATATATACCTATGTATTTATTTTATTTAAATATCATATCAATCACATGACAATTTATAATTTGATATAATATTTGTTTCAATTTCTAGTTGTGAAGTTCTCATTTTTTTTTTTTTTTTAGCCTATATTTCGTTCTTGTTTATATACATCATAAATATTTAGAAACATGTTTCAAAATTCAAAAACTTAAAATCCTCAAACACAAAATATTGTTGAACGAGCAAATTATAAACATGAATGTGATATATTATTATTTTGCGGGCTTATGTGTTATCATGTAAACATAAATCATGTATAATAAAACATTTAGAATCTTTTTGTGGTGGAGCCCTGACTTGTAATGAGCAGTGTTATGAAATATTAGATATACTCTTCAAAAGGATTTTGCATTATTTGTGTAAAGCTCTAGATTATTGGAAAGTAGATTTCATAAATACACAATTTATAAAATAAATACCCGAATTTTCATATAAACAAAAATTCAGATGACGTTATCATATGGGAAGTTTGCTAGGAAATGGGGCTCTGAGAATTTTTTTGACTAAAATTAAGGTCTTATTATATTTTAATCTAATAACACCAAAAATTAAAATGCAATAAAAAACAAATTTTGTTAAAAAATATGTTTACGAATGATGTAATGATGATCGTTGATTGGCTAACCTTTTTTTTTTGAGGTTGACTTTATTCTATCTTTATTACAACTTTCTTTACTTTTGGTGGGTATCGTTTTTCGCATTTGATATTTTTAAAAAATATTATTTACAAAGAAGTAAGCCATAAAATAATTTACATTTTATTATGCATTTAAATATTAATAATATTATAGTTAAATTATAAAATATGTTAATTACTGATTAAATAAACTTCTAATCTTTAATTTTCAGGAATTTCTAAATCATCTTGATCTTCTGAATGAAGATTTGAATTATTATAAGTATCTTCATCATCTAATAAATTTAAAATAATTAAATTATAAGTCAATAATAAATTAATTAAATTTATTTATTGCTTACCATTGTTTAAATTATAACTTTTTTGCAAACAATATGTTTTAATTTCATTATATGTATAATTAATTCCTAAAAGAAAGTATTTATATTCATTAAAATATTAGAAACTTTATCAATTAACAAATAAATATCTTTATCATTAATAATTTTTATTTTGTTGCTATTAATTTAATTTTTAAATTTTTAGTTAAAGTTATAAAATTATTATGATAATTATAATAGTTATTAATAAATAATAAAATAATTCATTACCATTATTATAATATAAAGAATGTTTTTTTGATTTGTCAATATTCATATCTATTATATAAATTATATAATATTTAGATATAAATTGAGTTTAAAATAAAATATAACAAATTTATTCTTACCATCAATTGTTGTAAAAATATTTATTTCAGTATACTCTTTAGATATTTCTTTAAGTTTTTTAAGATAATAAAATTAATTTATAAATTTTTTAAATTATATATAAACTAGTATTACTTACTATCTGGAATTTTAAGACTATTTTGTTTGCTATCATAATCTTTTTTATACAAATAAAGTTATTAAATTTATTTTAAAATTAAACTTAAATTTTTAAAAATTTATAAATAATAAATTTCTTACTTTTCTATAAATCAAAATAAAATTTAATTTTCTTTTAATCATAAATAACTTACCTTCATTAGCATTTCTTGGTTTAGGTAAATCTTTAAAAATGTAATATTTACTTAATTTACTAATTAATGGACTAATAGAAGTGAAACTAATAATAGATTCTTTATTTGGTTGTATACTATTTAAAGTAATACCAGTTTCTTTATTTTGATTTTCATTATACAAACCTTGTATTTTTTTAATTTTATTATAAAGAATATTAATACTAGGTCTTTTTAATGGATCAGCATCCCAACATTGTTTCATTAAATTTTTATATTCTAAAGGTGTTTCTAATACTATTATTGGTCGCAAACCATTTACTATTTTCATTGCAAGATCATAATCATGATCAAATTTGATAAAAGGTGGTTGTCCAGATGAAACCTCCCACATAATCATACCAATACTATAAATATCTGATGCAAAAGTATATTCTTTTCCAAATATAACTTCAGGTGCTATATAAGGAAGATTACCATATATACTTTTTAATGGTTTATTAACAGAACCACAAAATCCAAAATCACTAATAATCCAAAGAGAATAACATTTACTATATAATATATTTCCTGAATGCAAATCTCTATGAACAAAATTTTCTTTATGAAGGAGAAAAATTGCTTCAATTACAGAGACTATTATATTAAATTTTTGTTTCCATGTAAGTTGATAATAATATTGTTGTAAATATTTTCTTAAGTCTATTTCAGAAATACACATTACAAGAAAATAATCTTTATTTTGAAGATTTTGAGTAAGACCACAACTATGAGCAAAATTTACCCATTTGCTGCTTAATATTAATTGAGCTTTAGCCTACAAATAAGATTTTTAATTAATTATTTTAAAATAAACAAATTCAATTATTAATTCATATAATAACCTCATCAAACCAACTTCTATTAGCACTTTTTACATTTTTTAATTTTTTGAGTATTACTTTGAGACTTCCAAATTTTGTTAATTGTTGTTTTTTAGAATCCCATTCATCATATATTCCATCAATCCAATCTGCTGTAAAAATTTCAGAGCATCCACCTTTAGTTAAATACTCAATATTTTGTAAATTATTATATGGTATCCACTTTACTATTCTAAAAGGATTACTTGCTTCCATCTGACATTTCTTTATTAAATTATCAATTTCAATATTTCCAGATGTCCAATTAGAAAAATTAGCTTTTAAATAATTTCGCATACATTGTATGCAATATGCTGTTGCTAAGCATTCTTGTTTGCAATTATCACAAACTCTTTTTACTCCAAGATTTAAATCTTTTTCATAGTCATAATATAGTTTTAATTTTCGTATTGCCTCAGATTTTTCCTCTTGTGTGAGATATTCATCAGCGTATACTATTTGTTGTTTATATTTATGCAACTGTTCTCTGTCTTTGTAAATGGTCACATCAGTTAGTGCTATTCCTCTAATCAATACTTCTTTAATTAATTCTTTACGAATGGAGGCCATAATGAAATAGAAAAATAATATTCAATAAAGGAAGGTTAACGGAATTTGAAATTCCATGTTTTATTCAAAAAAAAAAAAAAATATGGGAGCTAAGCTATTAACATCGGGTTCGGAGATTAGTAATTTAATTTTGAGTAGATGATGATCGTAAATAATGTTACACCGCACCGTAATCTAACCAATCATAAATTGTACTGTACAGTACGAGCCCAAATGCATGCGTTAATATCCGAAATGCGCATTCCTATTTGGGATATACGAAATTACCATTTCGGACATTAACGCATTTGGGCTACAGCAAGTCTAAATTTTTATTATTTAAAATTTAATAAATTTTGCTAAAATATCACTTGAAATCTTTTGCTATTAAATTTACCCTTTGAAATTGAGTTGTTACACAATTTCAGACACCGGAGATTTTGCTGCACGATTCCCCCAAATTATAACAACGAAATGATTAAAAAAAAAAAATTGCGACACTATTTTCTTAAATTATTTTATAATTACCTAATGTAAGAATATGAAGCTGAATTAGATATCTAATTATCATTAAAATGTCAAATTTGTGAAAATCTAAATAATTTTTAAATAATTTATTTTGGCAAATGAACTTTTTTTTTTTCAAATTGTATTTGATCTATAAAAATTCGCTACGCCATAAATAAAGTAAATCGAGTTTCGGCTTTTAAGATTCGATTTTCGGATTAATCGAGAAACGGTTAATTATTCAAATTCTACATTGTGAAATCGATTTTACTCATAGTTCACAATAAATATTAATAATATTATACAAAATATCTGTACAATAATGTATTTTACCACAAATTCACGAGATTATCGGTTAATCGAAATTGTCATCCATTATATACGAAGATTAATAAATGTCCCACTATTTTAGAGGCGCGTTATTTCTTGCGGCCTAATTTCCTGCACTAAAATGCATAATTATTTCATTGTAACAATAACATTCATAAAACGTAAAATTTTATTATTTCCGAGAAAAAATGCTTTTTCTACTAGCGGTATATATAATTCAATTATTTTATTTATTTAACATAATGGAAAATAAAAATGAATTTTTTCAATCTATCTATTTATTAAGTTCTCTTTTTCGTTCTAAACATTAAAATTCGATTTTAATAATCGTTTTTTGTTAGTATTTGAATTTATTAACAACTATTTTTTACAATAAAATTTTCAGGTTATTAAGTGTATTAGCAATTAACTAGTTATGTAAATAATACCAAATGATTTTTGTTTTGTTCGAAGTAATTAATGTTTTTTTTCTAATTTGTTGAGTTTGGAACATTATATGTTGTATGGTATGTAATAAATTAACTGTATTATCTGTTATTACGTCAATGGTTATTCTGCAAAGAAAAAATGATCTCAAAATTTGTAAATTGATAAATCCTCAATAATTCTTTATTTTTCAGTAAAAATTGTTATCGTTAGATGATAAATTTTATAAATCGTTTACGAAGCTCTATGATTGTTTCTTTAGTATTGTTGTATTCAGTTCTTTCGTTATGTATTTATGAACAATTTTATATTGTAAGCAGGTGGATTCAATTTAACATTAATATTTAATAATATCAATTAATCTTTCGCAATATCAATATATTAAACTAAATTAATGCTAACCACTATGAATTAAATTGCGCAAATACGAAAATTAAAAAAAAAAATGAAAATTCGGGATTTAGAAAAATAAACGAAATTAAAATTTAAAAATTATAATATTAAAAACGGCGAAAGCAAAATATATCGCAAGAGATGAAAGGAAGGTTTAAGGTGTATATGCAATTATAAGAAGGGCGAGATATTGA